TGATGGTTGATAGGAGGACGAAATCTTGCGATTTGAGTGAGCCCTCTGGCTCCTATGTAGAGAATAAGAACACATGCCGATTTCACAGACACCAATCAAAAGACATGGCCCAAAGCTGGAAGCATCGAATATCAGAGGTCATCCAACGCTATGCATGAGGACGATGAGGGCGTAAGGTGTAGCTATGCAACATGCTAAAGGTGTCAGACCAAGAAATAAGAACAAAAAAGCACCAAGCCCATGCCCAAAACGAAGCGTAAATAAAAGTAGCTGCCGGGAAACCAATAAAAGCAAACCAAAGAAAAAGAAAGAGAGAGAGACTCTCGTAGCTAGTGCAACAAGAAGTCGACTGATGAGCCCAAAACCATACAACAAAGGGAAAGGGGTATCTATAGCAGTTCCCTCCAGGCCCAACCCCGAACACTTGGTTCTCCTTAATGCTCCCCATCCCACCCGTTTTATCCAAGCAAACGTCTCCCTAGCCTAGCCCTAGCACGCCCTCTTCCACTCTCCGCATCGTGACGTATTTTTTCTTTAGCAACATCTGCGACGGCCCTTTGGCGCCTCATCGGGCTCATTCTGCTCCTGGGCCGTCGCCCCCGTCCGGTCAACCGTTACAGCAGGAGAAAAAGCAGGCGAAAACAGCCAGCTCCGCCTGTCGCGTCCTACACGGAAACTACCCCTCGCGTTCATACCGTCGAAATATCCGCCGTCCATGCCGGCCTCATAGCCAGGCGTGCCCGGGGTGGCCGTCGCCAGCAAAAGAGCCTGCTGCATCTTGCGATTCTGCTCGACCAGCTTTCTGGCGACAACCCTAAAAACTTCCTCGACACCCTCTCCGCTCTCGGCGCTGATTTCGTGGCACGCGTCCCAGCCAACCTCCTGGGCCCAGAATCCCGAACTCCGCTTGGAACTAGGCGTGCGCGGTTCCACGCTTGGCATGGAGCCGGGCGCGTTGAGCGGCGTGGCCGTCGGGGGTGGCGTGCTGCCCAGTCCAGGAGCCAGGTTCTCGGCAACGTAGGCGATGCAGCGTTCAAAGGGGACCTGTCTGGCGGAAGGGTCACGGGCGACAATGTCGGCCTTGGTGCCCACGACGTGCAAAACGACGTCGTTTGGCAGGTTGCGGCGCAGCTCAGTGAGCCACACGCCCATCTCGGCAAAGGACTGTGCGTCGGTGATGCTGTAGCACAGGATGCAGGCGTTGGCGCCGCGGTAGTATAAACGCGATATAGACCTGAACCTTTCCTGGCCGGCTGTTGGGGAGCGCGGCGTGGTTAGCAAGCTTGCGGAGAACAATGGGCACGAGGCCACTCGAGGCAATGCACAATGAAGAATGAATGGGGAGTCAAGAAGGGCGGCACCAACCAGTGTCCCAGATTTGAAGGCGCACCATGGTGTCGGTGTCGGCGTCGACAACGCGTTTGGTTAGAAAGCTCGCGCCAACGGTGGACGTTATCTGCGAGGGGTTGAAGGCGCCCTTGCAGTACCGCATGACGAGGGAGGTCTTGCCCACGCCCTGGGCGCCGAGGACCACGATCTTGGCCTCGAGAGAGGACATGGTGGGTGAGTCGCGAAGGTGATGTGGTTTGAGTTGAGGGAGCTGGGCAAATGAGGCTGTGGTGTCACTATGCTGCGGAATCCGAAAATGTGATTTATTGCTGAACAACTCGCTGGCTTTTTCTAATTTGACGGTGAACCGCGTATAACATAGAATGGTAATAATGGGTTACTAATCAAAAGGTGGGAGCGGGCGTGATGGTGAGGCGCGACACATGCGACAAGACGTCGACGACGACGACGCGGCGTGACAAATGCAGGCTTCAGCGCAGCAATGGGGGTGAGTTTGGGCCCCCTTATCGCATTGTCACCGTAGGCTTCAGCGAAGGATGGGCGTGGGAGCAGGGCGGGCAGAGACCTGCACTCTCATGGTCGTGATGGGCCGACGATGTTGTTTGCGTCGGAAGTTTGGTGTTTGGAAATGGCGGCCTCGGCGAGGGGCCCAGACGGGGAGGGAACGGGCACAGGCAGAGGACAAGGAGAATTCCCGTCTCCTCTCCCTGGAAGCCAAGTGCGAATTAAAGTGTGCGATTTGCGGGCAATGTTTCGTTGCTCGGCGGTCAAGGAGAAGACGCGATGCAAGGCAATGAGGATTGGAGAGATGACGGTGCTGTGGGACAAGATGGGTCAAGTCGAGATGGCGAGATGGCGAGAGGCGAGTCACGGACTCACGGCGGGGTCGAACGGGACGTTGTCACGGCACGTCACGTCACGCCTCAGAGGTCACGCCGCACTTTTAGGGCGGTTTTCCCGCAAGGTAAATAAAAGAAGGGATCAACGATGGGACAAGACGAGAAAACAGGTTCGCTCGTGGTTGATGGGGTTTACTTGGGTTTTTTGCCGTGGAAATACCGCTCTGGCTGGCGCGCTCCCACGTGCCGCTGCCGTGTCTCGTCTCAAAGCCGAAGCGCCACTGATGGCAGTTGGTGGCATAAATGAGCACAAAGGGATAAGGTAGTTCAAGGGTTCGGGTTAAGCACTGCACTGCACTGCACCAGAGAAATATGCAACCAGTTGGCCCCATTGGGGATTTGATGCTCCTCCCCTGCGTCCAACTTTATTGCCGGCATGTAAAACGTCACATCGCAGATTCTCAGCCATGGTGAACGCCAAAATACCAACCGGCGGTTCTCGCTGCAAGTCGACGTCATTGTACACGCTGCCACCGAACCGCCCAATTCTCCAATCAGAGAGTCCCTGCCAGCCCGTGCCTTTGAACTTGGAGGCCTGGGTGGCTTGCATTTGCATTGCAACATGAGCTGCTCGTGCTTCGGGGCAATAATGGCTGATGTACTGCTGTGTATAAACTCTTGCCCAGACACGGGCTCTGTGATATCCATCCGCCAGCTGCTTAAACGAAGAGCAAGCAAGTACCCAGGCATGCAGCATTGTGCAGTGTCCGGTAAAACACGACGTTTTCTTTTTCAAAACCTCCTCGGCTTCAGAGGGCCTTTGTCGAGACAATCCTACGAATCACCATCAAGTCAAGAAGACTGGCTTTGCTGCTGCTGATGTCAGATACACGGACTCCGGGGTAGATCCCCGAGGCACTTTCATTGAACGTCTCAGCAAGGACGTCTCAACTACGCTTTTCAACACGACTAGTCCGTCACTCCGTACTTGAGGAGCGCAAAACAACCCATTGCGCACCCTCACCCCAAAATGTGTTGGCTCTTGCGCGCGCCGTGCGGCACGCAGCATCTTGTTTGTCCATGTTTAACTCCCATCTGGCTGGTCTCTAGAGAGGATGGACTCGGGCCACGTCCATGTCGACTGGCGCATGGAAGTAAAAATCCCAACTTGATAATTTTATTTTGTAAGAAGAAAAAAAGAAGAAAAAAATATATCAAAAACATACAACACCAGGTGTTCGCTGGTCATCACCGACCCAACTACTAGTCTGGCGCTCGCCAGTTTATCATGCGAGATCAAACGGGTTCGTGAGTTTTACTGGCGGCTATGGTCGTATGTACCAGCCGCAGTGTGTAGGTTACTTATCAGGCAAAGCGGATAAAAGAAGTGGCCGAGTGAGTGAATACGAAACAGGCAGGCTTCCGCTTTGAACCTTTGTAACTCGACATATAATTCAGGTATCCCCAGTTTTGTTATTGTTTAAAAAAATACTTTTTAGTAATGAATTAATAAAAAACTAGGAGTCATGGTTCATGTATCGCGTTTATAGCCAAGCAGCTTTAAATGGCTCAAATCAGCAGCTTCAATAAAAGCCCGCTACAAGCGGAAGCCCCCATGTGCCCTAAAAGGAATAAATTACAGGCCCCTAGATCTCTCCGCTTTGCCAATCGCCAGGGCCACTTGCTCGTTGACATTATATGCCGGGTCTTGTAACTTGACGTGTCGAGTTTTAAACTCGAGGAAGACGTGCTCCGTAACGCAACTGCCGATTCATCCATGATTTCCTACCCAGGCCCTCCTTACGGGCTAAGTACATACCTACTTACTTAGGTAGCTGCCATCTTACCGCGGTGTGGCTACCAGGCCGTGAGCCGTTTGGTTCGTCCCTTTGGGCGCTCAAAGGTGCCGATTTTGTAGCAGAACAAGGATGCTAACCAATCACATATTTAAATCAAGAGGTACATGATACCACTACGAGTTGATATACGGAGTAACGGCAAAGGTATTAAAATTCATCGATATATAATAAGCTGCATTACCTTGTCTTAACCCAACACATTACAGGGTTTAGCACTATAATCGTGTTACTAGATAAGTACTCATCAGGTATCGCGACAAAATACGGGGTCATTACAAGAGCGGCACCTTCAAGCACTCAAAGGGATGGTTGCCCTGTGCGCTTGACGCTTCGTCTCTCATGCCATTGGTCTCATACTGCTGCCCGCAGAACACCAAGTAAATCTGGTGCTTCCCGTAAATCAATGCCTCCAATTACCCCCCTCACCGCCTTCACCCGTCGTCAAGCCTTCAGTGCCGCCGTCCAACGAAGCAGCTTGGCTTCACCTCTACCAAGACGGGACTCGACATTGGCCATCAGGCGGCACATAAGACGGACAGGGACCTAATCCCCAACCTAGATAGAGAGTCAACTTTGCACTGTCCGACATCTGCGCCCCATCTGACGACAGCTTTGTGACTTTGTCTCACACATTACGTATTTCCAAATGAACCACATCCTGATATTCAGGTCAAGGAAACGCCGCTCAATCCATGCCTGGCTTGATGCCACGGCGGGGTATACATCTCCAGCGCAAACCGCCTCAACAAGGACCCCAAAAACCAGCAGAGAGACAACCATGCGCGAAACACTAATCGTATGCAATGCTCGGTCCATCTCTCGTGATATCGTACCGACCAAGACCATGGCCGACATCTGACGGCCGGTCATCCATGGGTATATCTGAATCTTCCTACGTGTAGTCTGCTTCAATCAATCTGTCGCTCCCCTCACATGCCACTCCCTCCTCTTCCTATATAATGACGACACTAGCAAATATGCTCAACAGCGCCATTGTTGGAGCCCAACTTGGATTTGACGGCAGTTTCTCGCCGGCACCCCTTTGCGTCGGAGTGGAATTATACGTTTGGGACGAAGGCACCGTCGGCGCAGCGATATTGGTCGCCGTCACTTCGAGCGAATCGTCCGTCTCCGTCGGCTTGTCGGCGAGGGTGAGTGTGCCCCAGTGGATGTTGGACCCGGTCAACGTTGATGTCCACGATACCGCTGTCGGACCGGTGTATTTGCCATTGGTATAGCCGGAGCAGTAGCTGGAATAGCCAGAGCATGTGGCTGCGGTGGTACCATTCATGTTGCATTCGAGATCGGCGATGCTGCGCAAAGGAAAAGGGAAAAAAAAGAATAGTTAGTTATATGACTTTTCTCGGTAGTTGTGGCAGGACCTGGGGAACCGTACTACGTGGAGGTCAAGGTGCCGTGGAACTTGAGTGTGCTTGGGCCTTCGACGATAATGAAGGGGAATTCAAGTGACAGGTCGCAAGCAACCTGAGTTGCTGTGGGACAAAAAATAGTGTATGTCGTTTGGGTTGCCGTCTGGTTCTGATTTTTTTTTAGTCGACGTGGGCGTAAAAGCAGAGTTCAGCATCAGACATACCGTCGAGATGATACTGCCCCGAACGGCAGACCATTGCTCTTCGCTGTAGTACGGTATAAAGATGGGCGCTGTCGTGACGGTGGGCGTCGGGGTGCTTCCGCCGTCGTTGGCATTGCAAGCCTTGAGGAGAGCCAGCAATGCGAGAGCCAGGGCTCTGGGAGATGCCATTGTTGGCCGAATCATGGTCACAAAAAGGACGACGGCCTGTCCTCCCGCCCGTGTTCGTCCCCAATCGTGGTTTGGTGGTGTTCGGCACCGCGGTAGCAACTAGGCACTGTCACTGCTAGAAGTAGCAACCTCCATCTGATGGGAGACGCTGCAGGCGAGGCATGAGACGAGAGGAGGGCGGGAGAACGGGTCAAAAACTGAACTGGTGATGGTGGACAAGAGCCGCAGGTCTGATTCACTTCGTCAAGAGTCTTGGCTGCGGCCCAATGTGTTCTAGCGCCTGGGTTGTGCTACTCGTCGGACAAAGGACGAATGATGCGAGCATTAACAGCTTGTGCTGTTATGCCGTGTAATGTTATGCCATTGACAGGGTGCAAACGCCTCGCGTCATTGTGGCCCATGCACTTCAAATGTCGCATCGTGGGACAAGTCAACAACTGTTGCCTGCCTAGTAGTCTTCCAGAGTCGGATTTCGTTTTTGCACTGTTCCCAGCATCGCGACCCGAATGAAATTAGGACCTGGGGTATTATAGGCATGCATGCACAAGAACGACGGTGCAGAGAACGCCAACCAAAGCCTCCAGAAACTGGTTCAAGGCGACTGTGCCGATATTGCCGCCAATCTGATGCCAAGATGGGCCAAGTGCTAGGCGTCAAGGCGCAAAGTGCGCTCTCTCCGGTCTACGGCGGAGGCATACACAATATCCAAGATAACCAACGAGTGAACAAGTGGGCTTCTGCTCAACTCTTGCCGTCTTTTGCCACGGCAGAGCGGAGATGTGGTTGCAGTGCCAAGACCGAACAACTGGCGCCAAGATTCTGCCAAGACCAGACATGCAAGCCCCTAAATCCGTTCCAACCTGGGGAGTACCATCGTTGACATGACTTGGCCATCATTACTAGAGAGGATAATTCTAATCTATTCTTGGCTAGAAAAATTTAAGAATATCAGAGTCGAAGAACCATATACCATACATTAGGCTAGCAATGGTCGAGCAAAATCTCTCGAACTGGTCTACCGTTGATTGAACGACTGAAAAGGAAAGGGGCTAGGCAGTTGAAGCAGGAAACAGCAATTCGTTCATATTGCCTACTTTGGATTCGCGGCTAGCCCGGGAGATTTTACGGGTGTGGATATTCGTCACCGGCCTGGGCGATTCGAGAATCAGATATATTAGTGACTGAACTGAACCGGAACAGATGTTTGAGAACTGATGCAGTACCTGTGTCTCTCCAAAGCTTGGGCATCAGCTGGCTCTACAACAGTTCAACCCTCTTGTCAGCGACAACTCCAGAACCCGAGACGGAAACGACGTACCTTGTCAACTTGACAAGTCATGTTTTGAGAACCAAATGTCTTGACAGACTGTACTTTGCCATCTTTATAGTTCAACCGGACCTGTTGCGAGGTAGCGCGGGAGGCATCCATTTCGAGATAGTTGAGCGGCTCTATTATAAGCGCGGAATGTGCTGTCGTGAAAACAGTATTGGGAAGATCGCCAGTGTGTGGGGCGTGGTGCATTCCGAGATTGAACCAAAGGACGCTGATGCCGTTAGTCTTTCTTTTCTTTCTTTCTTTTTTTTCCAGCTTCAAGACCCCAGTCCGTGATGAGGCGCCTTACAGGTCCTCCTGATCCAGAGATTCCCCATTAAAGAACTTGGCAAAGTCAATCAATGGGTCTGCAGGATTAAGCACGTTATACGGGTGTGTCCCTTGAGCTTCCGTGTCCTTCTGCTTTGTGACATAGAAATGGTGGTCGGCGAAATTCACGGCGTTCATGACGTTGGACGAGTTCGAAATCGTGAGGAAGATGACGTTCGAAGTTGCTACGCGATTAGTTCCACACTCGGGCAACTATATAGTGCAATTGGCCCACCTACCAGGGGTAAACCTGTACCCGGGGTATTCTCCAAACTCATTCTTTGCTTCCTTGTTGACGATGGCGTACATGGCCGCACCATTGGGAGCCCAGTTGATCTTGGCTCCATTTTCGTCCTGGATAAACGATTTATTCAGCTTCATAGTGTTCCTTTTGGCACCATTTGACCACGGATATCTGTGTTCGTTTCCCCCCTTTTGTTTAGCATCTGCGCTACCCAAGTTGATGGGCCTTCATACTTACTCAATGGCAGCGGGCACAAATTCCACTTTTTGGAGGCTGTTCTTCTCACCCAATACATCAATATCAGCCTTGTAAGTGAGAACATGGTCATGCATGGAGCCAGACAGGTTGTCGTGAATCTTCCAACCATACTCTTCGTTGTTGGCGGAAAATCCGCCGTGTATATATCCAGAAGCCCTTACGGAGACCTCTATGCTCCCATCCAAGAAGAAATTATACGAGAACATGTAGTCATAGTTTCCGATGGTTGAAATAGACCTCAGTGTAAAGGCGATGTTCTTGGTAACACTGGTATAGTTAGCAGTAGAGTGGCGCTGGATAGGGTATCCCTGGTCGAATTCGAACAAACCTGGACATGTCAGCGTCTTCCGCGACTAGGGGCGCCATGGTCAAACTCACAAATGGCATTGAATCGAGTGTAGGATCTTTCTCCTTGTCGGTAGGTGGCATTCAGATACGTTGAATATGTCGGACAGTCGTATCCTAGGGCGCTGTCAACTTGGTTGCACCTGAGGCGTTGTCGGCGGTCAAACTCACCATCGACAAGAGATACCACACTCGGCCCAACGCCGGGCTTACTGTCAAAGTAACTGCGGTGGCATACCCTGTAAGTGCTGGGAGCATTATCTGACTACCGAGGCCGCCTTACGTTGTACCGGACAGTACCGGGTCATTTCCTCTATTAGGTGTCAGGCCGAATCAAATCTTCATTTCACACTTTCTAGCACCACGTACGCGTAGAGAGCCAGCGCTTCCTGCAGGCCCAGCTGACCACGGACAGTTAGAAGGTAGCCCAATGGAGTTATTGTTTCCGATTGCAACGGGCCAACATACTTCGTATAGAATTCGTCTGCCCTTGTATTGGACATTGAAGAGACGCAGTCCATTGTCTCTATTGTACGATAGATAAAAAGAGAAATCCACTGCAGCGATTTAGTTCCAACGCATCCTAAAACCAACGGCAAGTAAAGACTGCTCAGGACCTACTCCACTCGACGTAATTTTCCTTTGCGTCCACGGAGAAGCGATTCGATCCGGGCATAACGGCTGTGGGTGGAGGCAGATGGTCGAATTTCATCGGGTTGCCTTGCTTATCTATTTGAGCCCACGGGCCGTCAGAGTTGGCTCCGAGTATTGTGAAGTTACTAGACGCTGCGGCGGCCCGGAACGCCTTCGTGGTTGGGTAGTATTTGCCGTCGTAATACCATCCTATTACAGACCACTTGGATGGATCTCTGCCCATCACATCGACCCCGAAATATAGACCAAGCGGAAGAATTGTCTCCGAGTCAAAGGTTGACGTAGGGTTGTTTACGAAGCCGGACCACAAAATCAACCGGCCGTTCTCCTTCCAAGGCGGAAATATCGGCAACAGGCCGAGGGTATCGTCAAGGGTCTGCTGTTGTTAGAATATTTTCTCGTAATTCTCCTGGCATCGTGGCCACTCACCCCATCCCACAGGTGTTTCGTGATGTCGGCCACAGACATGCCCACGTCATTGACATAATGATCCACGGCGCTACGGTCAGCAAAATCAACGGCGACTTTCCCCTTGCCGGCATTGTTGTAGAGAAATTGAAGCGGCCGTACCTGGGTGTTGTTAGCAACGGGAAGCGGGCCAATTATATAATCCTGGAGATAGGGATTAGGCGTTGCGCCAAACATTAGAGTTGCGCGAGCGCATCGTGGCGGAGGTGTTGTCGTCTTGTTGTTGAGGAACGGAAGCGTGTCGCTTTTGTTTGGGGCCAGCAGCTCCACGAGAAGGCTGCAACACATGGACCACGTGTAAGCCGCAAGCGTAATAATGTTGACGGACGAGGCCACATACATTCTATTATCCCAACTGTTCAAAATTTGTCAATATTTTGTTATTTTGTTTGCTGTCTGCCCCACCTGATGTTGGCTTCTCACCTTCCGGCAGAATCCTCTGTAGTAAGGTTAAGGCCAGTCGAGTGCCGGTGCAAGAGGTCGATAACACCAGCGGCCTCCTCGTCACTAAGGTCGCCCCAGATGTTCGGGTGCGGCGCAGAGACCGAGGGCTGCCTCGATTCGCACAGATGGTGCACGGGAGTAATAGGGGCCCGTTCAGCCCTGAACGGCGACGCGCCCCACTTATTACAGCCGCAGCTTGATGGGTTGGCCGCTGAGCACAGCCAATTGATCAGCGCTAACATGCTGGAGACGAATGTCGACATCATTTTGGCAGGCGACGAGAGTACTCTGTTCTACAGACTTCCACATCCACATGCTTGCTCCCGCCGGTAGAAAGATGAATTAACAAAAAAGGAAAAAGGAGGAGGGAAGGAAAGGGAAAGGAAAAAAAGAGGAAACATGCCTTGGGCAGACTTTTATATTCCGCACAGATCGCTGGTTGCTCTCAACCTAGTAGAGTAAAGGTGCCAATGAGAAGTTGAAACCCCTGGATTATCGTCAGCGCAATATCTGACACGGGCTGCTGTAGCCAGTAGCAAACGTTTATCAGAGACAAAAGACCAAATACTCTCCATCAGTTAGTAAGGGGCCAGACGTTTCTCTTAGCCACAGTATCTATCTTTGCTTTTTAATCCTCAGCGCTTCTCTAGCTTTTTAACAGATGGGTATCTTGGCTGTCCACGTCCGATCTGCAGCTTCCCCGACAAGTATTGCGTTGAGACGTCAACGGTAACATCCTTGCTCTCTCTCTACCTAGATTTGTAGTATTAGACAAACAAACAAACGCAATATTATCAATACGTCATCAGGAAAACTATTTTTCTTTTTGTGCTCCCATGACATCCAAACATATTCAATCGTGAATGATGACTAGCCGCGGGAAAGTGCATAACAATACAAATTAATGATTCCACAAAGAGCCCCCCCATAAAACGCTTTTGTGGGGCAAGAATCGTGGGGAGATATCGGGCCCCTCTCTACTCCGTACTGCTGTGAGAATTACTAATTAATTAATTTTAGATCAATTTCAAAGTAATTTACGAATAATGGCTAGGGTTAGGAATATTCAGGGGACCGACATCTGCTCAGAAGAGGGTCGACATCAATAATTCTCCACTTAAATTCTTCAAACCATCTTTCATGGGGTGGGTGGACATTACATAGACCGGCAACAAGACGGCTTTTACTGCCGTATTGAAACGGGGCATCGCCGTCTCGGCGCAGCACTCGTCGTTTGCTCAGCGTTGAGGCAATGGATGCGCCCATGTGCAAGAATACACAGGCCCCTGAAAAAGTGCACGATTAGAGTTCCGCCAACTTGGCTCAGCGGCGTCTGGTAGTCGATAGACTCGTGAGATGATGGACTAGGTGCCTCCTTTATGCTTTGGGTGGAGGCGTACCAGTTTAGCTTGCTTCAAGCATCAAAATAGCGTCGGGTCGACCGTCCTCCCCCCTGTAGGGAGTTTGCTTTAAATAAAACGTCTTCTCGCTCTCTCTCTTGTATGCTCGCCCTTGCCACGTCCGTTTTGCCCAGTAGCACATCTCGTTGCTGTCTCTCGTTCATCATGGTTCGCGCCGCGCTCCCTCTCCTCGCCGCTCTGGCTGGCTCCGCCGTCGCCGCCGAAACAACAACCGTCAAAATTCTTGTTCTTGGTGACGAGTCCCCCTTGGTCGGCTCCGTCGTCAATGCCGACTCGAGCGCCACTACCTTTGCCGTGCAGTGTCCGTCCGGCACGCCCTCGGACGAGTGTGGCCTGCCGCCGGATGGTGCGACTATTACCCAGGGTGAGAGTACATGGCAGTGGAACTATGGCATGTCCAATAGCGAACTGGGGGTTTTGTACGTCAACTATTTTTCTTTTTCTTTTTTTTTTTTTAAAAAAAAAAAAAAAAAAAATTAA